GGGGAGGAATGGCGCGGCCGGAGGGGGCAACCGCACGCGGCGGTTTGCATTCGCCCGCCGCCCGGACGGGGAGCACCGGCGCTTCTTTGCCGGCCACGCCCCGGGTGCGCCGGCTCGAATGCGAAACCCGGCCAATGGGCGTGCGCCACCGGCGTGGCCCGCCCCCCCCCCCCCCCGGAAGACGCGGGCAGGGGGGGGGGGCCGGTGATGTTCACGCCACGGGCAGACACACACACACGCACACACAGACACACGGAGACGCCGGCAACACGGGCCCCGCGCGATCCGACGCGGCCCCGGCGCCGGGGAAGGGCGCATGCGTCCGAGGGCCCCGGTCACACCGGTTTTCCGGCATGGCGGTCTTAAGTCATCCCGGGGTGGGGGGCTCCCCGCCGGGGGGAGCGGCTTGCGTACCCGGGCGCGACGTCCGCCAGCCGCGGAGGCCACTGTCCCCGGGGGAACATCAACAAAAACCGGGGTGGTCCCCGCCTCGCCCGACCGTGTGGGCCCAGGGGAATTAATGCCCTCTCTCCGGGCGGGCAGCCACCATCCGCGCTCCATGATGCCAGCGTCGCCTGGGGAGATAAGGGGGCTGGCGCGGAAGGTGACGCCGACGCCGGGCGGGTTTACACATTCTCCACACGCGCCCGTGGTGGCCCTTACAAGCGGGCCACGCCCCGCCCGTCCGCCTGCCCGGCAGCCGATCCCCTGAGGGGGGAGCCGCGGGAAGGCGAAACACGGCGCCCGCCGCCCGCCCCCCCCCCTTCGCCCTCTGGTCGTGCGTTGCCCCCCGGTTCTTGGACCGCCGGCCGGAGGGGCGGCCACTCTGCTCTCCCGCCCCCGAGAGACCCCGCCAACCGAGAGGGGGACGCACGCGCGCGCGCCCCTCCCCGGCAATCGGTCGGGTCGTGCCTGCTCCAGGCCCCGCCTGCCCTGCCGATTGCCGGCGCCGGCGCCGGCGCGCGCGCGCGTGCGTCCCCCTCTCGGTTGGCGGGGTCTCCCGGAGGGGGGACGACCTCCCGCCAAGCCGTTTTTTTCTCCGCGCCCGGCCGTGACGCACTCACACGCGCGTGCGCGCACGCCCGCGCGCCCGCATGGGGAGCGCGTCGCCAACGTCCCCCCCTCCCTCGCGCGCGGGGTCGCCTGGCGAAATCGGGCGCGCCCAGCCCGGCCCAAAAGGGACCGCCGGTGCGCCCACATGCACGCGCCACACCCCCCGGCCGGGGCTGCACCCTGGGGGGCCGTCGGCGCGAACAAGCGACCGCCGGGATCCGCCGCACAGCCCCAAGAACGACATTCCCGCCGGCCCTTCCACGCGTTTGCCGCGGCCTCCTCCGGGGCGGGGGGCCGAGTGGGCGGGCGCCCGGCCGGCCGCGCCGCGGCCCGCACGGGGGACGCCCGCGCGTTGGCAGCTTCGCCCGGCCGGTTGGGCGCGCGAGGGGGAAAAAGTGGCCACGGTGAGACGTCCTGCCGACACGCCTGGATGCCGAGCCCCCCCCAGGGAGAGAGAGAGAGAGAGAGAGAGGCACACACACACGCTCGTACGACGCCCGTCTGGGACGCGCCCGGGGCGCCCGAACCGGCGCCCGAGGCCACGGCAGGGCCCGAGATCCGGCGGCCCACGCCAGGGGGGGGGGGGGGCTCCCGCGCGCCGCCGGCACAGCCCCGCCCATGACTGGCGCCGATCCCGGAGGTCGACCCACCGGCAAGCCGGCGAACATCGCCATCATCCCCCCCCCCCCCCCCGGCTCCCCTCGGGGCGAAGACATCCCCGGTCGAGGCCTGCCCGGTCCCCCGTGTCCAAGGGCAGGCAATCCAGAACATTTGTCGGCCTGCCCGGCGAAGAGGAGCCCCGAGGGGCGGCCGCCCGAAAGGGCTGCCACCCTCGGCAAAAGGCAGCGCGGGGCGACCGCGACCAGCCGGGCACAGGGCCGAGAGAAACATCTGCCGAACGGCCTCCTCCCCCCCCCCCGGGGGGGGGGGGGCCGGGGGACGGGCGTTTCGCGCCGACTTTGCGTCCGCCCCCCCTGCCCTTCGCCCCCGCCCCCCCCCCCCCCCTCCCCGCCGCCCCTGGCCGGCGGCATCCTGCCCGATGGCCTCCGCGCGGTAGTTGTGCAGGCATACCGCGCGAGAGGTTGCCTCGCAGCTGGCCGCGCGGGCCGCCCCCACCTGGACCCGTGTCGTGCGCCCTCCCCACCACCAGCTGGGGGGGGGGGGGGGGCCGTCCAAAACGTGTCGCCCCTGCCTGTTGACCGGCCGGCGGGCCGCTCGCCGGCGCCCTTTTCCGTGGCCCACCAAGCCCCAGGGCGCCGGGGGGCGGTGGCGGCGGCGGCGGCGGCGACGACGGGCCTCGGCCGGGCGTGCGC